GCAAGGGGAGCCTTTTTCCCTGTAAAATATGAAACAAAGATGCAAACCAAAGCATACACACGCGTGGGTGATTGACTTGTGTGCCTCTTGGTGCCTTATCCCGGGCACCTGCTTGCATAACTGTGGCACCAGAGGTGCCTTTGGGATTTCACATGCTGCAAAGGCATGTTACGTATTATATGGCATAGTGAAAATCCCCATGCTAAGCTAGAGAGCAGGCAGTGTTGGACATGAAGAGAGGATGGAGAAGGGGAAGATAAAAGGGAAGAGGAAGGGGAAGGGAAAGGGAAAGAGCTTTTGGATGCCATTTGAGATAAGATGGCTGGGTAGAGATATCATGAAAGTATCTCAGAAGGAGAGCAGAGCTGGTGAGAGACCAGTAATGCTGTGACAGGAAGCCAGTGCCATCTGAGAGCTCAGGGAAGTAAGTATAAGGGCTGTAAGGTCTTGAGCCCAATGCTTTTCCTTGTGGAAAAGAATTTCTCTTCCTTAATGGTATAACATCCACCTTCCTGCCTGGGCTTCAGGCAGTGCCTGTGCAACAAAGTGATCTTTGCAGGGAGAATTATAGATGGTCTCATCTGATACGTGCAAAGCAAGAACAAGGCATGTGCTAAAGGTAAGGAGCCATGTGGGGGTTTGACATCTCCCATGAACACAAACGCTTGATGCTGAAATGAAATGGGAGTTCACAGGTGGGTTGCTGCGATAGAGGACAGGGGAAGCACCAGTCCTGCTCCAGGTGTGGATCAGCCCATGAGCGCCGAGCACAGTTAGCAGAGCATGTGATGCTCTGTACCACCTGCTGTGGAGTCAGAAACCCGGATTGCCGGCTGTTAGGAAATGCACCCGCAGTAATGCTAGAATCAGCCAGCCTGTGAATAAGATCTCCAGCTCCTCATCCTCCACTGACAACACGGCATGCATATCGTTGGGGGATTCATCTCAGCTGCTTAATCATGTTTGATTTCCTGGGCTGAGGTGCAGCTTGATTCTCCAGGATATGTGCCCAGCTATATTCTGTTCTTGATGTGGTTTGCTCCCTCGATTTCTTTCAGTGGGTTGGTTTAGAGCAGGGATAAAGAGAAAACAGATTCTATTCCATTAACATCAGGTTTTGTTTAAACAGCAAGTTTAATTGCAATCTAATTTAAATTTGCTTGTGTCTGGTAGAGACTCGGGATGCCTGGCTAGGCTTGAAGGCTAAGGGGGCAGAACAACCAAAAGGCAAGGGCTGGCTTACTAACAAACCTCCAGATGCCTCCAGAGAGGGAACATATGTCCTCTCTCTCTCCTTGCAAGGAACAGAATCCTTGCTTTTACAGCCCCATGCAACAGCAGCTCAGCCAGAGCCACTCACCCTCAGAGTCCATCCTTGGCTGCTCAGGAAGCTTCTAGGTCTGTGTAGACAAAACTTGGTCTTGGTCCCTTCTGCAAGCTGTGCTCCAGAGGCAAGAGGGGAATCACACCTCAGGCAGAGAGCCAAGCAGTACGGTGCCATGAGATGAACGCCACCACTTGCTGGAGATTCGCAATATGATTTTCCCTGGGGCTGGAAAGGAGCACAGCCAACGGATCCATGACTTGTTCTCTGCATTATATCTTCTGTGCCTGTTGAACCTTCACTTCTCTTGCTCTTTTCCTCCCCGTCCATAAAGCTCAACCCTGTGGGTGCCCCAACTTTGTCTACTGCCACAACAGTACAGGCATGGGGAGCAGGTCAGATCCTTCAAACTAATACAAGCATAAGCCCTGTTCTTCTGAGTCTAGATGATTCAGCTGGTGATGTGTCCTGCAGCCATGCAGATTGTGAGAGAGAGCAGCTAAGTCAGTCTCTGGTGAGCTGAGATTGACTTGACATGCTCTGCTTCCTCATAGCAATATGGGAAAGAAAACATTTAATTTAAGAAAATGTCCACCATCTAAATAACATCTGCTCTGGGCTACTTTGATTTGTGTTATAGCTGTGTGCTTATTTAACCCATAATGTAATGTGCTGCAGCATCCACCGCACATGGGTATTGTCACAGCGACAGCAATATGCTACGTTTTCTGCCTGTTGAAGTGCAAAGCCTTGTCTCACAGAAGCTCAGACATGTCCTGGCTGATGGGAACTGCGTCCTTTTGCACGATGGTTTAAAATAACACCTGCACATAGAGCTCACACACTGTGCCCTGTTCCTGCAGTTCCCTTAGAGCACAGCCAGATTTGAGACCATGTTAGGGATGTCCCAGGGTAAGGAGCAGTGGAAGGGGTAGCAGAGGTAGGGCTGCACACGGGAGGTGAAAGGAGAAATGACTAAGCACTATCAATGGTAGGAGGTGGCTGCAGTATCGATTTATTATTGCACATTTGATCCTCTGCTGCAGATTTCTGTGTCATCATTCTGCTGGGTGATTGTATCTTCACTCACTAAAAAAAGACGGCAAAAGGTTATGCTGATTTGAAACCTGACTCAGTGTTTTTAAGGCCTGACCAAAGTCAGAAGAAATGAAGGTTACCTGCATCTGAATCACTTATTGCCGTGGTTTCATCAGGCAGGGCTCTTCTCTTGTGGGGGATGCTTGGGGCAGCTGTAATTTGAGACATTGCTGACTTGATCTGACTATCTCAGTCATAATGGTAGAAAATTGGTAGGTCTTTTCAGAGCTTGACCTTCATGAGCGTCACTATCAGAGACCTCATTTGCAGTTATCATAGACAATAATTCTCAGTGTTCAGTAGTGGATGTGCTAACACAGAATTTACTCTGCACAGCCTTGGCAAAAACCGGTTTGAGAAGCACTGATCTATAGTGTATTCCTTCCTGCTTTATGCACTTGTCGCAAGACATTACTAGCTATGGTCCTGCCTTGACTTTCTTGGGGGGTCTCTTCCACAGTCTACCAGATTTGAGAACACAAAAGGACAAAGAAGCATTTCTCCTGGTCCATCTTCTTGCCACCTTCTATATTTAAGTCAAATTTTCTTGTAAGGGGGCTCGTGAGGGCCATTCTGGCTCATAACACGACTGAAGGAGCCCTGGGGAGCCTCTGTCATCTTGGACCTGAGTGATTCCTGGAGCCATCTATCCCCTCGCTGCTGAGATACACAACATGGCTCTTGGCTGTTTGAAGGTTTTGGTGGGTCACTTGGTGGCTTATAGCAGAACTGGTGAAGGTAAGGAGAGTGCTCAGAGCAGCTTCTGTACAAAGGGCCAAGTACAAGGTCCAACCAGCTAGGATGGGGTTCCAGGTCCTGTCACAGAGACAGTGATGAGGTAGCAGCTATTATACTGGGGAGAATCAGATTAAAATGTCAGGTAGCAGTTTTTAGAACAATAGAAGATGCTTTTCCACGCGATTTTTCTTGCACACAGTGGTGAATGAAAAATCTGCTGAGAGCTATTGAATATGGAGATAGTATTTTTGGTCCAGGAAGTCTCTGGTATTTCTAGGGAAGTCTCACTACAGGCTTTCCTGGCATTTATATCTTCCCTAAGCATCTGTTATGGGCTGCTGTCAGAGACAGGATGCCTGGCTATGACAACCAGACAGGTTGGCTGCCTTAGGAACAGCCTGTCCCTGACGCGGGTACAACACCCTGCTTCAAAAATCACCACCTTCCCATAGCTCATTTGCAGTTCCCTGCTTGGGTGGAAGTTTTCAGCACAGAATTTAGGTTGGTGGTGGCACAGAAGCCCATCCCTCACTAAAATCTTCATACAGTTGGAATGGGATGGTTGGGGTTCAAACTTAAACAGGGGAAGTTTAGATTGGATATAAGGAGGAAATTCTTTCCTGTGAGGGTGGTGAGGCACTGGAATGGGTTGCCCAAGGAAGCTGTGAATGCTCCATCCCTAGCAGTGTTCAAGGCCAGGCTGGACAGAGCCTTGGGTGAGATGGTCAAGTGTGAGGTGTCCCTGCCCATGGAAGGGAGGTTGGAACTAGATGATCTTAAGGTCCTTTCCAATCCAAACCATTCTATGATTCTATGAAAATACTGCTGGATCACAGTGTGGGAGTATTCCTGCTCCTAGCCTGGCCGTTCATGTGTGAATGGAACAGTGTTTTGCTAACAGGTCACTTTTTATATGTTCACATAGCCCTGGAGGCTTCAGACAGTGTAAGAAAAAGGCTTTGCCTGGTTTATTAATGGCTGCACAAGAGTCTCCAGGACAGAGTTTGGAAATTTGCTGGGTTTTCTAGCAAAACATGTAGGTTGCTCAAAATGGCAACTTCTCACTTGCATCATCAGTGCACATGTTAGTGGTACAGATTGGTTTTCAAAATGAGACTGGTGAAGGAAGGGTCATCCTCCAACTCTTCTGGTCTTACGTTATGGAATAGAGTGTACAGGAAGAGGGAGGAGGTGTAAGAGAAACCAACGTGCTGGGGTTTGATGGTTCTGCATTTGTGTCCAAGATATGGTGGTACTCCTCAGCTGCTGGTGTCCATGTCTGGTACTGTAGAAACGCTGCTGGATCAAGCTCCAGCCTTACACCACCAGTGTTTAGAACCTGCTCTTTGGATGCTGCAGCCAAAGGATTTTCTTGCTGAACAAGAAAAGGTTTCCTTTTCATAAAAGGAACAGTATTTGTGTGGGCAGGAGGCTGTGACAGTGTCACAACACAGTTAGAGGGGATTTCCTTCTGTTCCCTGAAGAATCCTTGAGATTCGTGGTAGTACCTGTGGTCTAAGGACCATGAAGTCTCCATGTGCTCCCCTTGATGTCTCAATGCAGGAGGTATAAAACAGTAGAGCTTGTTCAGATATGCTGTGGAGCTCTTTAACTTGCTCAGGGCTTCATTCCTCTGCTGTGGCCTTGATCTCAGAGGCAAATCCTGACCAGTAGCACAAAAAATAACCTGCTGCTTTGGGAATGCCTGGGGTGAACCCTCATGCTGGGGAGAAAAGTATTTCTACTCTCTCCCATCGTGGAGGCGTCAGAGGTGAGTCAGTCTCACAGAAGACTGAGCTGTGCAGCCATAAAAGTGTAAGCAATATGGTTTTCATTACAGATGAATACTCTTCCCCAGGGAGCAACATTAGTGCTTTAAAGAACTGAGAACTGTTCTTGATGCTGTTTCACTTTGATTTCTGCTCCTGGCTCCCAGAGCTCAGGACTGTTGCTTACTTCACAAAGGTTTTATTTCGGAGCAGCAACAGGACAATAACTAATTCCATAGGTTATCTAGAAATAACTTCCCTTTAGCAAGAAGACAAATTGCAACCAGGAAATACTCAATCACTCGGGAAACTGTGTGTGCTGTGGTATAAACCCAAACTCTCCTGTGCCATCATGGTTTTGGATTCAGAGGAGCAGTTTGGTGCACGCAAACACAGATTTGGCATCAGTACCACATCCCTTCTAACATGATGGTTTCTCATGGACTTCTCTGACATCTCTCTTCCTCACAGACTCTTGAGATTGAATTGACATCCCCAGCTTCTCTCATCAATCCCCTGCATTTTGGGACTCCTAAAATATGGGCTTCTGAAGAGGAAATGAGCTGCTCCACTGCCAACAGCAGGTTCTGGTATTGCCCAAGGAGCAGCAGCAGGGGAAGAGCTCGCACTCTGTTAAACTGCTTTTAGACCAGCACCTACACAAAGTCCTGCACACGTTACTCTGCCACTCACAGAAGCGTAGCAGTGCCAGTAAAGCAGAGGATGTTTAAGACAAGTGACATGATACCTATGAACCAAGGCAATATTCTTCTGCAAGTGGCTGCTGACAGCCTCAACTGGCAGCCAGGCTGCATCTCAAGTCATTTATATCTGATTTCTTGGCAGGGTGGAAAAGGTAAACCTTGTTTTCTTTAAAGTTAAAAGGGCTTTTTCTCTTTTTTATTTAATTTGACAAGGAGGAAATAAGCTCCATGTAGCCAGTGGAAAACCTGCTTTAAATGTCAAAGCATCTACAAACATGAAGTGAACACCTAAAAGCCAAAACACGTGCTGATGCTCTTTTTCCAGTACACTTGGCCATCAAGCTGACCAGCATCAATTCACTGACATTCAGCATTCTCAGATATCTCAGAGCTGTTTTCGAGTGCCCACGGATGTCCATTTGATTGACGAGTGAGCAGCAGCCAAGACAGAGAAGTTCTTATGAGTATGAACTGTTCCCTTTTCCTGCTCAGAGCTCCTCCTAAGAGAATTAGTCTTTAAAACGTTCCCTTTCTGAAAACAGAGAGGAGGGGGAGAGGGCTTTGGGGGTCATGAATGAACAGGAAGCCAGTTTCAGTTGTTCCTATGCATCACTGATTTGAGTTTTCACCATCATTGGTTGCACAGGGCCATGAAGAGGATTGCTGGGTGAGCTGAGCACAGATGAGCTGGTGGAGCAGTACTGACAAATGTCCTGTGTAAATGCGACGGCTGATCTGCACAGGGACATGTGAGCCAAGGAGGGAGCTGTGAGCGGATTGCTTTGGACAGTCCAGTGCTCTCTTCCCCACAACTTCTGCAAGGGTCCGGGAAATGAGGTGAGTGAGGCACAGAGGGTGGCATGGGCAGGGGTGTGGGCTCATGTTGGTGGCAGCAGCATAACCCAAACTGGTGAGCAGAGTGTTCATCCCATTGCCTTTGCAAGCATAGAGTCACAGAATGGTTTGGGTTAGAAGAGACCTTAAAGCTCATCCAGTTCCAGCCCCCTGCCGCGGGCAGGGACACCTTCCACTAGAGCAGCTTGCTCCAAGCCCCATCCAACCTGGCCTTGAACACTGCCAGGATGGGGCAGCCACAGCTTCTCTGGGCAATCCGTGACACTGCCTCAGCACCCTTACAGTAAAGAACTTCATCCTTATGTCTAATCTAAATCTCCCCTTGGTCAGTTTAAGGCCATTTCCTCTTGTCCTGTCCCTACAGGCCCTTGTAAAAAGTCCCTTTTCAGATTTCTTGTGACCCCTTTAGGCACTGGAAGTTGCTCTAAGGTCTTCCCAGGGTCTTTTGTTCTCCAGGCTGAACAACCCCAGCTCTCTCAGCCTGTCTCCATAGGAGAGGTGCTCCAGCTCTCGAAGCATGTTCATGGCCTCTTCTGGACTTAACTCCAATGAGTGCAATGGGTCTGCTTCCTCTGACCAGCAAACCGTGGTGGGCTACCCAAGCACACATGTGGCAGCTGGTCCTCTGCTGTCAGGCTCATCGTCCCTGGCCTCCCTCCATCCACAGGTACTTGGTACCTCACAACAAGTCACAGCCCAGCCTCACAGCCCAGCTGGGTGGCTACGGAGGGTAGAGAGGATAGGTCTCTCCTTCTTCCCATAAGTCAAACACTTTCTGAACGTGCCACTGCAACAGGAAACCTGGCTTTGTCTTTCCAAATGCCGTGGTGCTACATGATGCCTCTGAGCCCTCCTGCTCTTTGCTCCCCATGGCCCAAGTGCTCTGGGGTGGAAATGCACGAGCAGTTCAAGCTGCTACCATGAAGAGCCTGGTGAGACCTCATCAAACTCCCCCTGGTTATTTACAGAGGAAACAAGAGGCTCCTTAAGCCTCTAGGCATAAGAACTGAAAGTTGTTTGGTACACACCTGCTGCTGTGTTTAATGCTGCTCTGAGAAAATCCTTACCTGCACGGAGATGCAAACGAGCACTCAGCTCATCACAGCAGCTCCTGCCTGGAGTCAGCTCCCCTCCTGCACTGGGAATGCAGGTAAAGCATGGCAAGGAGCCAAGCTGGCTTCCTAGCAAGGATGGGGAAGGAGAGGACTAGATGAGGAAGAGGTGAAGAGGGGCAGGCTCAAAGTCCTGCCAACACGGCAGGAGTCGGTCTGGCTGGGATGGGTTTTGTGCTCCCGGGGAAGGTTTTGGCCTAACAGCACAGTTTGCTGCAGACATGTGATGGATTTACTTTGTTAAGGGAAGAAATAGGTTTGCTCAGGTCCCTTCTGCCCCTGGCTTCCACTCTCAGTGACACTGGGAAAGATGAAGCCATTGCCCACTGAAAAGGCTACAGGGTAATTTCAGTCCCTTGCAAGTTGGCTGTTTGCTCTGCAGACTGCATCAGCTCCCTGGGAACACCACCTGTCAGGAGCCCATATCAGAGGAATAAAATACACAAAGCTGTTTGAAAATGATGCTGCTGGCAGTGCTGGGGTCAAAGCCCATCACTTTGGTCACACCAAACTTCTTTGTGACTTCTTCCCATGCTGCTTTCTTTAGCAGTGACTCACTTTTGAAGTGCATCCTCCCCATCCCTCATCTCTCTTACCTAGGATGGCAGCTCCTACCTTCCTGGTTGGCAATCCCATTTTCGGATGTTAAATCCTTAAACTAGCAGTACATGACTTCTCTCCCAAGGTGTCTAATGCTCTGCAGTGAGTCTGCTGATTCTTTCTGCCTGGTAAGAACATCTGGGACATCTGTGTGTTGTCTTTTCTGTCCTCAATTGTAAACCTATTGAGACAGAGGCTTTCTGTTTCTTCTGCACCTGGAAAGCCTCAGGGCAGATGCTCCCCAGCTGAATTCAGGCTCTATATCTGCTACAGGTGATGTATATTTCATGGCAGGGGAGTTGGTTGGCTTCTTGAGGAAGTCTCCTCCCTGCAGTAAAGGCCAAGCTCTCTTTACCTTACAGCAAGTAATCAGGCAAGTAAATGAATCTGAAGTTTCAGCTTCTAACCAGAGGATTTCCTGAGGGAGGATAGCCCTGTTTTCCTATAGCCATCATCTCTCCTTCCTAAAAAAGAGACAAAAACATTGTCTTAAAGGTGGATGGGTTGTACAAGAGTGACAAAAAAATAATCTTGTGCTTAATTTCTCCTAATTGTATGGAGTGAAAAGGGGAATCCCTTTGAAGGAGGCTGGGTGAAGAGTGAGGGCAGCAATGCTGCGCTGTTGCTGTCAGAGGGTCTGGGAGTCATGTAAACTCGGAGCGCAAAGCTCTGCTCTGCAGCATTGACCTCCTCCTCTGCTCCCTCTTTAGAGCTGCCCAGGCTGCTCCCTGTCAGCAACCACCCAACTGAAAGTGCAGCATCACAGCATTTACCTGCTCTCAGCATTGCACCATCTCAGCCCTCCGGCACCTCGAGGTGCCCAGCTCTCGTGAGTGACCACAGCCGCGATCTCAGGGTGCCCCTGGATCCCAACGGGAAAGCCGGCTGCAGGGTGACATTGCTAGAAGGGCACTAGCCTGGTTTCAGTGTCCTGGTTTTATTTGTTTGTCCAGTGGTTCCGCCCTGCACCTCACCCCACCCCGTGGTTAGCGCGGTGTTAATTACGGGCCATTCCAGTGGGGATTGCGTTAGGCTGAGCTAGGTACAGATTAGAGGGGTGCAGGTCACTCTGCCAGGGCAGGGAGCCGTGGTTAGTAGGACACGGTGACACACTGCCCCAGGCAGTGCCCGGCAGGATTCAGCAGGGCTGTGGTACTGAGCTGTGACAGGCAGTGCTGGCAAAGCTGGGGGTGGCCAGAGAGCACTGGGTACGTGTGGTCCTTGCACGGGCTGCAGCGAGCAGCACCAACGCGGGCTGTTATAAAATAAGCCCTGGGATGTACTTGTTTAAACAAGCCTCAAGGGCACAGCTTTCCTAGAAGCTTCTAAATAAAACTGATCTCCCCTTACCAAGGCAACCTAACTGCATGACAGTGATGCTTTTGTGGCTAAAGCCCAGGACAGGGGTTCATGGTACCACCCCTGCCACTGCTGCGCTTTGCATGACCTCAGGCGCACCGCTGAGTCTCTCTGTGCATCAGCCTCCGCATGGGTCTGGTTACAGGAGCCTACAGAGTATCTGGGGCTCCCCAAGGGGAAGGTGTCCCATGTGTAGTCAGAGAGGCAGCTAGTAAAGGTCCTTATCTGTTCCTTGGCTTATTTTCCCCTTCACAACACTGGCTCTAGCTGGCAGACAGATGCAGCACTGCCCACCTCTGTGAGCTGTGCATCCCTTTCTCTGGGTCTGGCGTCCCACAGCCTTTTCCCCTGCCTGGGGGATCACTGAGAGAGTGAATCTGGCTTCACAGCTCACCACACAGCAACCGTAAAGCTCTTTCTGTTCTTTCAGAAGCTAATGTGAAAAATGATGATAGGCTAAATCTAGATCTATGCAGCAATTATGTGGGATTCCAGACCTTGCACCTGTAGCATAATACATAACAGAGCCAGATAACTACCTCGTCTAATGATTGCTCTGAACAGCATACAAATCACATTATGCAGGGTGAGCTGAAAGCCATTTTTCAGTGGAAGCTGATGAGCTTGGAAAGACTTTCTTTGCCCAGCTCTCTCCGACTGCAGGTTTGTCCTTTTCTCCTTGGAATCCTTCCTGTTATTTTTCTACCTTCCTGTTGCAGGATGCAACATTCATTACAATAATAGATCAAACTTTGAGTGGAAAAACTTCGCTTTATAGTTGTCTTTAAGGTTTCCCAGTTTTGTTCCTGTTTACTGATCTGCAGCCCTGACCTCTCGGCTCACCCTGCCAGGTACAGCGTTCTAATAACATGGCAAAAACAAGCCCAGTGGGCCTGGGTGCATACCCATAATTAGCAGGTAGAGTGTTTTCATGGGGTGCTTTGATGGGCAAAAGATAGAACATGAAGCTTTTAATCTGCCCAGCACTTTTCAATCATTATGTGTCTGGGCCTTAACGTAATTAGGTTTTTATGCAGAGGGATAGAAGTTATCTTATTCAGTGAGCTCACGGTGGCTGAGAATAGCTGAGGCAGACCCCAGCGCATCAGGGCTGTCCTTTTGGGCAGACATGGGTGCTTTATGCAACACAGGTGGTCAGACACTGGGACAGGTTAGCAATGCCATTGCCATCACTACTCAGAACTTGCCAGGAGAAGAACCCAAAACGCAGAATTATCCTTGCTTTGAGTGGGGTTTGAGACCTCAGGAGACCTGAGGTGTTTGGAGATGCTGTGTGCTCTGTCAGAGCTCTTGTAGCATCACCAGTGGTTGCAGAAGGACTTGCTGCAGAAAACCTCCCTGACACGAACTTGCCATCCTGACAGTGACCAAGCTGGAGAGGGGAAGCTCAGAGCTGCACAAGGACATAACGAGGCAATGGGTGTTGATGCAGTTTGCTGAAACACACACAGAGAACTGGGGAGGAGGAACATTGCTCTGCTGTTTCCCATCCCTTGTTGAAGTTATACTTAATACATATTTAGAGGACTACTTCCAGAAGCAACTTAAAGCCTAAGTCCTGTTACCTGGAAGCAGACTTGAAGTCCTCAGCACTTAAGTCACCTCTAAAACACAAATGTGAGCACGTAGTAATGAAATTCTTCTCACCTAGTAATCATCACCCAAACATGAGGTGTAATTCCTTCTTATTGTGTAATTCCTCTTATAGTTAAAGAAGAGAAGCTCTTGTAAAAGTCAGTTCCCCTTATCCTCTTAGCCGGCATCTAAAGATGGAGTAAGTCATTCTCTGAGGTACTTTTGCTTAGGGGTTTAGATAGCGAGGAAAGACCAAGCTCCTAAATATCAAACAGGCATGGGCAGAAGAGGAATCCAACACTAATGATGTAGCTTCTCTGGGAATTCAACACAAGTTTAAATTTGTGTATCAATTTCTTAACCTGAAAA